GATAATAGATGCTCTTGCAAAATTCTGATGATATTTGCCACCTATCGTCCACGGCCTAATTGCGAGAGATGTTTGGAGAAAAAGAAAAAGAAAGTGCAAAAATATCAAAGAGAACGACGACACAAATTTCTAGAGACGGCAATGGTGCGGTGCGGGGCGAGGCGAGTTTCGGGTGTATGAGGTGTGGTACGAGTAGGAGTGAAAACGGGCGGGTCGGGTCGGATATGGTTCGGGTTGAAAACGGGTAATGAAAAATCGAAAAAATTATCCGATCCGACCCATATTTAAAACGGATAAAAAATGGGTTAATCGGTGGATAAAAAATGACTTCTTGAATATGATTTCCTAGTGTCCAAACTTGAGGAATCCCCAATTTGAGGCTTTACAAATGTAAAAGTTAACCTATTGGTTATCCATTTTCTAAATGGATAAAATGATTCTTATCCATATTTGATCCGTTTTTAAAAAATTTATTATCCAACCCATTTTTTAGTAGATAATATGGGTGGTTAACTATTTGCTTTTAACCATTTTGCCACCACCAGGTATGGGTTTGAGTTTATGCGGGGGCGGTGAGAGTTGAGATATTTCGGGTTGGGATATTTTTTTTAAGTTCAGGCGGGTTTCGTTGCGGACTCGTCCTAAACCCATTTACGTTTGTTTGTTGTTCCATATCGTATAATAAAGAACACTAAGGTCTCATTTTTTTTTTTTAATATTAAGACGTCTGAATCTGAATACACATCTGAATATCAAAATGTACATGTATTAAGATTAAGACATTTGAATCTGAATACACATCTGAATATATTAAGATCTAAATAGAAATAATTAAGACTGTTTGATTTTTAACATCTGAATGTATAAAATTTATCTTTATTGAAAATTTATAAACATAAAATTCAAATGAAATACTAACTAATCTAAAATTCTATCAATAAAATATATAGTTTTTTAAAATACGATAGTTGTTGGTGGTGATGGCTAACAGGTGAATGCCGACTAGAGGTGGTGGTTGGTGTTAGTTTTGGTTAATGATGGTGGTTCATGCTAGTAGCTAGTAGTGATTGGTAGTGGTGGCGATTATGATTGAGGATGGTGGTGGTGGGTGGTGATAGTCAATAATGGCGGGTGGTGGTAGTAGTTGTGACTAATGAAGGTGGTGGGTTGGTGGTGGTAGGTTATAATGATGGGCAGTGCCAGCTGTGGTTGTTGATGGTGATGGGGTGGTCAGTTGTGCTAGTTGAGGTGGATGAGTGTTGATTGTGGGTGAGAATGATTATGGTGGTCGGAGTGGTGGGGATAGTGGATGGTGATGGTCAATAATGGTGGCGGCTATGATTGAGGATGATGGTGGCGTGATGGTGGTGGTGGTGGCATGGTGGTAGTTGATAATGGTAGGTGGTGGCAACAATTTATAATGAATATGTGATAGCATCTTAATGAAATTAAGTCTCTGTTATAGATCTTAATCATACAGACCTATTCAGACCCAATAAGTGGTTGTGAATTAAAAACAACAACACACTTAATGATTAAGATCCGGATAATTAAGACTTTAAAAACAAACACACTTAATGTCTGAGATTTGAATTATTAAGATCCAGACCTCCGTTAGGTGTAAACAAATGAGGCCTAAATCCATTTAGTTTTTTCATCCAAACTTTCTTCAATTATTTTAGTTACAAAGAATTTCATTTCTTTTCTTGTTTTATACCCAAATCAAGCAATGAAAAGAAAACAATTTTCCTCCGTCTTCTCTCCTAGTATTCTTTCTTCCTCTTCCTTTTCTAGTTTACAGATAAAAGAATTTCTTTTTTGATCTTAAAGACATTTAACTATGAATGAGATCTCTATATAACTATGCCTTAATTCATTTTAACAAATAGGTAGAGAAATCAAAAGTTGTGAAGGCTATCGTATGACCAGGTTAGTTTTTTGAAAAAGATGGATAGAGGAGAAGAGTATGCCTAGGCGGTAATGATTTAAGAGACTATTAACCACCAAATTTCAAATTAAAAATAAAAAGAAATAATTGAAATTGTGTACTATCAAAAAGAATTTGAAAAGGTGACAAGAAGAGTTGATGTGTAAAGCAAATTTTTACATTCCTATGCCACATAGGAAACCTTATTACCCTCAATGTTTAAGGTTTGACTTAATTACACTTAGTATATCAAATTACCAATTCTATACCATAGTGTATTTTAAGGGTACAATTAATGCAGCTTATATCCCTCCTTAATTCAAGGTACCGTATCTCCCTAAGATCATACCCGTGGCTAGCCAACTGATAGCTCCTCTGCTTCAATTAATGTAACCTGGAGCTATTTATCAGAAAGATTTTGTGATGAGATCACGTGATGGTGTTAGGATTTGGTGTTTTTAGGTGAGCAACTCTAGTGTTCAATTCTTTGCTTTTGAGAGGGACTCAGAAGCTCATGCAACTTGTACGTTCTTATAAAATGGATATTTCTATAACGGTACTATCAACTTGTACAATGAAGAATAATAATATTACGAAGTACCATTTACCAATTCTCGACGTAATAATTAAGAAAAATAAAAAAAAAGTGATTTTCGACTTATTAATCGAATTCTCTCAACGAAACCAAATTTTAAATGGTAAAAATAGTGAATTAGTTTCATTTCCAACAGGACACGTGCATACATGACATATGCCATCAATTTCATAGTCCCAATTCTCAAACAATATCAAATATTATAATCTATTGCAATATTTCTTATTTTTATCACAATAATTGCGTTTTTTCAAAAGATTTTGTAGAAGTTTTAGTCGTCTTGGATTTGTGAAAATAGAAAATAATGCATCTACAATCAGAATACAAATAATCTACAATTCATCTATAAAATATCTACAAACTGGGTATATTGAATTTTAATATCCCAATTCCCATTCGATTGTAGTTTAATTGGGATTTTCGACATAATTGCATTTTTTGCAGAAGTTTTAGTCGTTTTTGATTTGTGAAAACAGAAAACAAAGCATCTACAATTAGAATACAAACAATCTACAATTTATCTACAAAATATCTACAAACGAGGTACATTGAATTTTTATATCCCAATTCCCATTCAATTGTAGCATAATTGTGATTTGTGACATAATTGCATTTTTTCAGAAGATTTGTAGAAGTTTTAGCCGTTTTTTATTTGTGAAAACAGAAAATAAAGCATCTACAATCAGAATACAAATAATCTACAATTCATCTACAATTTATCTACAATTTCTACAATATGTCTTTTTCTTCTTCTTCTTCTTCTTCTTCTTCTTCTTCTTCTTCGAGTTTCAATCTGAAATTCAGTCAAAACCAAGTCTAATCTTCACCAAAACCCCTCAAAATTGAGATATAAACTCCGAACCATATTCCCGATTATTTTTAACAATACCCAATCCAAACAAATAATGATTTTTGAAAACCCAAATTTGAATTCAAAGCTTTCAAGCTTTTTAATGCCCGTCAATGGTGGAATTGCTGCTCTTTTTTCATTTGCTTTGTATTACTGAAATTTGCGATTGAGAAATAGAGAGATGTAGAGAGAATGTCGACGAATAGAGCTTTTGCAGAACTGATTTCTACAATTTGAAATTGAGCTTCTAATTTCGACGAACTGAGCTTTTAATTTGTGTCTTAAGCGAAAATATCGAAGAACAGATCTGAGCTTTTGAACAGATTTGATTTCGACGAATTGAGCTTTTGAACTGATTTGATTTGTGGCTAAATCAATTAGAAGATTCTGTCCTGAATTTTAGCACGCCTAATTAGGAAGATTCAGCTACTAATAATTAGTATTTAATGACTGGTATAATAATTATATGAAAAATATGGACAGGGCGGGTAAATTAGAAACTGTGCACATTTTTGGTAATAATATTTCATATATGGTATAAAAAGGAAAAAATCTCATGTGTAAATACAAACCATATGCCTAGTAAAAAGAAGCCAGCGATGAAAAAGAAGCCAGCGAATTTCCTCCATCAGTGATCAGTCCAAGCTTCCCAAAATTTCTATTGCGTAAACAATAACTGCATTAAGTTCATAGATGTCTGGGTAAGTAATACATTACTTCAACTTTTGTTTTTTTGATTATTTTATGAAATTTTTTGAGAAAGAGGACTCTAAGGAAGAAGATGAACCAGGAAAGAGATTTGATTGTTGAAGCGGAGATTTGTATATTAACACTTAGGAGATAATAGTATAAAATGCAGGAGATTTGTGTTGCGAAATAAAGGTGAACCAGAAAAGAGATTTGATAGTGTAAGCAGGAGGTTTATATAGTAAAACATAGGAGATCTTAGTACAAAATGCAGGAGATACTTATATAGTAAAACGTAGGAGATCTTAATACAAAATGCATGAGATTCTTTTGCTGAAATGCAGGAGATATTAGTAGAAACCATAGGAGATATATGTTATCTCAGGAGATTTGATATGTAAAGCATAAGAGATCTGCATATTAAACGTATGAGGTTGCTATTTTAAAATACAAGAGATTGGTACTAATTCACTTTTATTTTTGTTTACAGGTGATCAATATATGTAGATATCAATGGGTGATTTGACTATTTGCACTGTGTTTGAGTATAAGGAAAAAAAATTGTTAGGGTAATTCATTGTCGCCAAGGAGTACGTACGTTATAATGATTTGGTAGAAGTAATTTGTCAGTGATGCAAGATAACATGTAATACGGAAAACATTATTATGAGTTACAAGCCAATGATTTTGGATAAAACTTGGCAAGAGACTCCGTATGCTCCAATAGAGGATGATTTTGATTTAAAGTCCTATTTGACAATTGTTGATGACCGAGGTGCTAGGCCAACATTAAAAGTTTGTTTACATGAGGATGCCGATGAAATTGAAAAGAAGTGTAGTAAATTATGGAAGTGGTGATACACAAGTTATTGTGGAAAGAAATGATTGTAATGTGATCCAAGATCATTATAGTCCTATTTTAGTAGAAGAAAGAGGAACCAATGGATAAGACGGACAAACTTCCATTGGAGCATAACGTAACCCCCGCTTACCAAGTTGATGATTCTGGAACTATTTATTCAGAAGGAGGTTGTTTTAAAGAGGGAGAGAATGTTGGAATGCCATTTATGGAACGATCAAGTGCTATGGAAAATATGACTTGGGAGGATAGCTTTACAACCATGTCGAGCAACGGGTGTTGCAATGAAGGTGATCGTTCTGATCTTTATTTGGGGAAAATATTTGAAAGCAAAAAGGAAGTTTTGAGGAAGCTAAAAATGATTGTTGTGTCTGCAAAGTTTCAGTTCAAAACAAAGAAGTCTAATCCTTCATTGGTTTTTGTTAAATGCATTGTTGAGGAGTGCACTTGGCGTGTGCGTGTTGTGAAGTTAGCTAATTCGTCACGCTTTGTCGTTAAAAATTATTGTGGCGAGCATAATTGTGGGATTAAAAGTGCAGCAAAGTACCATAAACAAGCTTCCTATGATGTAGTTGCCGAAATGATGCGCAAATTTTTTGATTCATCAGGACAAGGACCAATACCAAAAGAGGTAAAATCATTAGTGCATAATGAAATTGGATATGAAGTTAGTTACTGGAAAACTTGGAAAGCAAAACAGGAAGCCTTGGCAATCATAAGAGGGAAGGCTATTCATTATTACCAGGGTACTTACATATGTTGGAGCAAACAAACCCGGGTTCGAGGACAAACTTAGTGTTGGATGAACAAAACAAATTCAAATATTGCTTTCTTGCTTATGGGACAGCTATAGAAGGATTTTCTCATATGAGGATAGTGATTTCTGTAGATGGGACGGAAAATATGGTGGTGTACTAATATCAGCATGCGCGCAAGATGGTAACCAACATATATTTCCGCTTGCATTTGCTGTATTTGACTCAGAAAATGATAACTCATGGACATATTTTTTCAAGAAGCTAGCTGAATGCATTCCTGATAGTGATAACTTGTGCGTTATATCAGACAGACATCAAAGTATAAAGACTGATGTTGCCAATGTCTACACGCTTGCACATCACGGATTTTACATGTTTCATTTTAGCATGAATTTAAAGTCCAGGTCTAGTGATTGTGACATTATCTATAATTTTTTACAAGCTGCAAAAGCATACACACTGGATGAGTTTTCTCTTTATTTTGATGCAATAGTGGAATCAAATGTGAATGCTGGAGTTATATGGAGCACAAGTCATGTCTTTCAGGTAGATAAACTCCCATGTGAGCAAGCGATAGCAGTTTTGAAGCTGACCCCAGGACAAGACATATAGGAGGAGATATATAAACTATGTGATCCTAAATACAAGAATGAGACATGGAAGAAAGCTTGGGATAGAACAATTTATCCTGTTCCTCATCCCAAAATATGGACGACTCCATCAGAAGAAAACAGAACGGTTCGTCATCCTTCAGTTAAATTGAAAAAAAGTCCCAAGAAAGTGAATCGTATGCCTTCGGTTGGTGAGAATCCAAAGAGGAAGAAGCAAAAAAGAAGTTGTTCCAAAAGAGTGTCCAAGGAAACAAGTCACTACAAAAGGAAGTGTCCCAAAAGAGTAGTTGATTAATTTGCATCAATTTCCTAGATATTTATATGGATTAATAAATCCTAAGTCTTATTTGGTCAATTGTTTCAGGGATTTAATCTTCTATTCTATACAATTGAAGCATTGTAGTTTATTAAATTTATCACTTATGTTATAAGGATTCGATCTCCTGTGTTATAAGTCTTTTATCTCTTACAACATGATGTAAATCTCTTACGACCATGAGTAGATCTCTCAAGTTATATTTAGTGGTCACCCTTGATTATGCTTATTTTTTTGAATTAAAAAGTAATTTATCTTAATGAAACATCTATATTTAGTTGATAGTAAGTGCGATCATGCTTGTTAAGTTATTATTAATAATAACTCCAAGTTACAACGAAAGAAAGATAATGCGCAAATTATGGTCTTAATCTCTTATGACCAACTAATGATCTCTTACGACCATGAGTAGATCTCTCAAGTTATATTTAGTGGTCACCCTTTATTATGCTTATCTTTTTGAATTAAAAAGTAATTTATCTTAATGAAACATCTAAATTTAGTTGATAGTAAGTGCGATCATGTTTGTTAAGTAATTATTAATAATAACTCCAAGTTACAACGAAAGAAAGATAATGCGCAAATTATGGTCTTAATCTCTTATGACCAACTAATGATCTCTTACGACCATGATATAAATCTCTTACGACCATGTAGATCTCTCAGGTTATATTTAGTGGTCACCCTTTATTATGCTTATTTTTTTTAATTAAAAAGCAATTTATCTTAATGAAACGTCTAAATTTAGTTGATAGTAAGTGCGATCATGCTTGTTAAGTAATTATTAATCATAACTTCAAGTGTAACGACCCGACCGGTCGTTTTGAGTTTTTGCACTTTGATCGCCAGTTCTCGGGCATGACTTGCCCCGTGTAATGTGTTATGACTGATGTAGATCGTTGGTCTTGGTTTTCACGGAAATCTGTATGAATTTGAAAGAACAATCTCAGTTGAAAACTTTGAATTTGAAAGGTTTGACCAAGAGTTGACTTATTTGTATATGAGCTCGGATCGGGTTTTTATGATTTGGTTAGCTTCGTTAGGTGATTTGTGATTTAGGAGCGCGGTCGAAATTGGTTTTGGAGGTCCGGTGTAGAATTAGGGCTGAATTGGCGAAGTTAGTATTTTGGCGATTTCCGGTTGGTAGGCGAGAATTTGATCCGAGGGTCGAAATGGAATTTTGAGAGTTGCAGTAGCTTCGTTATGTCATTTGGGATGTGTGCGCAAAATTTCAGGTCATTCGGACGTCGTTTGGTCGGGTTTTGATCGAAAGTGTATTTCGGAAGTTTTTGGAAACTTAGGCTTGAATTCGATGAGTTTTGAGTAATTTGATATTGTTTGAGGTGTTTTGATGATTGGAACAAGTTTGAATGATGTTATGGGTTATGTTGGTAGGTTTGGTTGAGGTCCCGAGGGCCTCGGGTGAGTTTCGGGTGGTCAATCGGACCACTTTGTGCCTTAAAAGATAGCAGAAAATTTGCAGGTTCAGAGTTGCAGGATTTTTGTTCTCTGCGAGCGCATAAGAGGTCCTGCGATCGCATAGGAGGATTTGTGGGGGTCTGTTATGCTATTCACTGCGTTCGCAGAGTACAGCTTGCAATCGCATAGTTTGGGGAATTTGTTCTTCGCGAACGCGGTTGAGGCATCGCGATCGCATAGAGTAAAGTAGACCTGAGGTCTTAGTTGGATTTTGTTCATCGCGAACGCGGAAGGTTTTCCGCGATCGCATAGTGTAATTTTGGCAGTGCATTGCGATCGCATGGGATTTTATGCGTTCGCATAGAGTTAATTTGGAGCTGAGATTTTTTGTGCTTCGCGATCGCGAAGGTTTTCCCGCGATCGCATAGAAGGAATTTAGCCTGCGCAGAATGTTATTAAAGTCATCTTGTTCGCGAATGTAGGTCTATTTTCACCCATGACTGCTCGTTTTTGGAGATTTTTGAAGGAAATTAAAGAGGGATTCAAGAGGAATCGACTTGAGGTAAGAATCTTGGCCTTAAAACTCGATTATATTGTGAAATCCACCTAGAAATTCATGGAAATTAAGCCTAAAATTGAAGAACTAGGGCTTGAGAAATTGGACTTTTGATATGTATAAACTCGTGGGAATATAAGGAATCTATTGATGTGAAAATTTCTGAGTTTCGAGGAGTGGGCCCGGGGCTCGGGTTTTGGTAATTTCGGGATTTGTGCCGGTTATTGATTGTTTTCGCTTGGGCTTTGTTCCCTTTGCATATTGTGATGTATTCGTTCTGATTTTGGATAGATTCGACGCGCGTGGAGGCCGATTTGAGGGGCAAAGGCGTCGCGAGCTAGAGATTTCGCGGTTCGAGGTGAGTAATGATTGTAAATAATATTCCGAGGGTTTGAAACCCCGAATTGCATATCGTAGTGCTATGTTGAGGTGACTTGCATGCCGGATAGCGGGCGTGGGGTAGAGCACGTTGGGGATTGTGACTTGGTCCGTCCCGATTGATGATTTTACCGCGTATTTGACTGAAACTTATTTGTTATCATCATGATTTGGGCTGATTGCCATATTTGGGCTTCGTGCCAACTATTTGAACCCTTCGGGGATGTTTATCACTAATTCCTCACTGTTTTGAATTATTACTTGAACTCAGTCCTGTTGATATCTACTGTTTTACAAACTCAGCCACTTTTACTCAGTTTTGAGACTTAAATGATATTTTAAATGATGTTTGGGCTGAGAACTGCTGTTTTACTAATGCCCGAGGGGCTTGTGATGATTTTCGGACTGAGTGAGGCCGAGGGCCATATGTGAGGATACACTGAGTGATATGAGGCCGAAGGCCTGAGATACATTTATACGCCACGAGGTGGCTTGAGTGATGTGAGGCCAAGTGCCGAGAGCCCCTCCGGAGTCTGCACACCCACAGTGAGCGCGGGTACCCATTGTTCTGAGAGTGAGCCCGAGGGGCTGAGAGTGTTCTCAGAGTGAGCCCGAGGGGCTGAGAGTGTTCTGAGAGTGTTCTGAGAGTGAGCCGAGGGGCTGATACTATTCTGAGAGTGAGCCCGAGGGGCTGGTACTGTTATGAGATATTGCCCGAGGGGCGAACCTTTATGTGTTCATCTTTCCTATTTACTTGTCATTTTACCTGTTATACTGTGGTATTTGTGCTCGAGGGGCGAATTTTCTGTGCTTATCGGCGCTAACTGTTTTGCATTCATTTGCGTAATTACTGAGAAAGTCATTTTCAAAAAGAGGTTTAAACTTAGCTAAGATGTTTCTAAAGATTTCACAGCTTCATTGTTTTTCTCAAAGGGTTTTATACTGCTTCTATATGGTATGTTGGTTTACTGTATGTGATTTCTTACCGCTCAGTTGTTATTTACCTTTATTACTCACTGAGTTGGAGTACTCACTTTACTCCCTGCACCTTGTGTGCAGATGCGGGTATTTATACACCCGGTAGCGGGTTTTGGATGATCGGAGGCAATGTTGTCTGATTTAGCGAGGTGGATGCCAGCGTTTGTAGCACCACATTTCATCCTTTGCTTATCAGTCCTACTTTGTTTGTTTCGGCCTTGCAGTTGTATTTATACTTTAATAGATGCTCGTGACTTGTGACACCCCGATTTGGCTGTATTTGGGTCGTATTCCGCACTTAATAAAGAAATCTTTTGTTTAGACTGTGGTTATTTAGTTATGCTAAAACTGCTTATTAATATTAACTATTCTAAAAAGGAAATTTGGGTTGGTTGGCTGGCCTTGTCTTCACGAGAGGCGCCATCACGACCGGATCAGGGTTTGGGTCGTGACAAGTTGGTATTAGAGCCTAGGTTACATAGGTCTCACGAGTCATGAACAGGTTTAGTAGAGTCTCACGGATCGGTACGGAGACGTCTGTATTTATCCTCGAGAGGCTGCAGAACCTTTTGGAAAACTTCATAATCTTGAATTCTTATTGTGCTCCTTGATTCAGCTTGAAAAGTAACTCTTGCAATTCCTTCCACGCGTTCGTATGCGCACATGAGCGCTCAGATGTGCCTTGATGGCTTGAGATTCCCCAATCGAGGGGCGAGATGTGATCTCTGTGAGTTTATGTTGGGCCAGTCTGGAGTACTTGAGGTCAGATCTTTGCCTATGGCTGGAGCACCGAGGTGCTGATTGTGTGAACAAGTATTTTTGGAACTTATACGTTTGATAGTGTCCCTGTTAGTGGAAGTGATGGCCGCATGGCTATGTGACGAGTATGTTGTGACTGCAAGATGTATTCTATGAATTGGAAGCGGCGAGTTATGGGTGTGTGAAGAATCTTTTTATGTTTTCCAATTGATGGTGAAGTAAATTTCATATTGCGGTATGAGTTCAGGCTCAGGAAGACTAAGTGATTGTGTAATGTGTATGACGTTGGAAGGTATACAGAAATGTTATATTGAGGCGAAGCAGGTGGGTTATGTCCTGCGGAGTGTTCTAAAGTGGTGTGATCCTTATGTGTCTGTTAGAAGATCTCATGTGCAAGTGAAAAACATGTGTTGAAATTCTAAATTGGGTCGCTTAGAAAGTGGGCTTAACTGTTGTGTGAGTGAATGCGAGATTTGCAGAAGAGTTAAAATTCTAGATGAAATATGTTTACACAAGCTTATAAAGGATTTGAGTTTAATCTCACTATGGTATTATGGCATCAATAGAGTATAAGAGTTATGAGTTATTGGGCGTG